TTTCTTTCATTCTGAACTTAATACAACCAAAATACAGCTGGAAAAAAAGACACTTCAGAAACAATGTTATGAAAAAAAACAACTTTTGGTTTTTAGTCAACAGAACTGCACATGGATTTTGGAATTAACTAAAATATATTATTTTAAAAAATCTGAAATTAAATAAAAAAACACACACATTTTGCTTTTTTAATATTAATTGTAATAATTCTAGAAAAATAATCATATATTTGAGGAGACATTTGACATTCATTGATCGAACAGCCACTGTCGGTTGAAATTAATAACATTTTATCTTAAAACATTCAGGAAAATGGGTTTCTCAAGTCGAGTAGATGTTATCGTTCCTTACAGTATTGATTGAAGTTTCCTTCCTAACCTTTTGTTTGAAGTAGTGTGGAACGTCAACATATGAATTAAGTCATTATTCTCTCTTCGAATTCTATGTGCCATCCATTTTAGTTGTTACTGCTGTTGCAAGTTCTGTCATCCATTTACCCAAGCGCACTGTCTCGCTCACTGTTTCTCTATGTCCGTTTTGTCTTCAATATGCCCTTTGAGTGTCTAATTTTCCAAGTCGTCTTTCCTCATTATATATCCTAGAAATTTCAACTGTCTCTTTCTGGGGTTATGTATAAATACCCTTTTTGTTTCCATTTTTCCTTAAAGCTTCCTTGTTGCTCACAGAGAATGATCAACTTAGAAAATTGTGATTAAAAGCAACAACGCCGTTCAGAGCGTCCCCTTTAACGGTTTTGGTTACGCATATATTAGGAGACACAAGGTGCTACTCTGTGTGCTACTGTAGTTTCCATCTGACTTAGAATAATTAGATCTCACCCATAGTCCAGACTGAAGGAATATTTCAATATTTTAATAGTTCAATACCGCAAACCTGGTTTCGCCGTTGACCACATCCATGTTGCTGTCGAGGTCTTTACTGTAACCCTCGGTTCTACGCCTTACCAAAGGGAAGCTCCTGATTTGGTGAATTCAGGTTTTGAATTCAGAGTTGTCCTTCTCTTAGACTGGTTTCTGACCAAGGCTAAAGGACCCTCCCCGCATCCTTCCCTATTATTTAACTGGATGGGTGGTTTTTTTTTTAGATGGATTCATATGTTTCCCTAGGCTAAGTGTACGTGATGAACTCGAATGAAATTCGAACTTGGTTCTTGGATTTCTCATTACGTTTCATTAGACGAACTGCAAAGCAACTTAGAAGAAAAAAAACTGCTGAAAAGCGTCAATACAAATACTTCATCTCAGAAATCAAATTACTTGAAATATAAGCAATAATGGGGGAAAAATATTCTTCATTAAATAAGCACGAACCATTTTCGGAAAAGATGGCAGCTTGTTATGACTACCCACCACCGACACACACACACACACACACACACACACACACACACACACACACACACACCGAATTCTTTTTTTCCAAGTCTATTTTAAAAAAATAAATCATCTTATGTTTAATGTGACTACTGAGTGCAGAGAAGGGGTACAGCATTACAATCACGAATCGCGTGACGAAGCACTGAGTCAACGGTACATCTTTTGCAGCGTTTTGTTTTTGTTAGTAAAGCGCGTTTTTTTTATGTTGATATTGAAACGTTCTCTCAAAGCACGCTTCAGTTCCACGTGCTTCTGTAGAAATTACGTAAATATGATTGTATTCTTTAAAAAAAGCGACCTTATTTTGCTACTACATGAATCAAGGTTTAGATTATTGTCAACCAAAAAAAATTCGAATTTTTTTCGCACATCATCATCATCAGCATTATCATGGCTTTACTCAATTGCTTCCATGATTTTCTTTTTACGGCTTATAAACCCTTTTTCTTTAATTTAAAGCCAGAAAATATTTTTAGATCGTAAGAATTCTTTTGGAGATAGTAATGATTTTTAGTGACACACGTTCTACTAATTAACCCATAGCTGGTGGGGAGAAGAATTGGATTATTACCTTTCCGAAGGATATTCACGCGTAAGTGAATGCCACGAGCCCGAAAAGAATTGGAGCCGGATTTCAAATTCCGAGCCTTTATCCATTACACCACCCGCACATCCAAACTTACTGCACCTGATATTCCTTAGCTGTCACCCATCTAGTTTACTGACTAAGTTCGACGTTGCTTAACTTCGGTGATAGTACGAGGACCGGCGTTTTAACGTAATATGGCTGTGACCCTCTTTTTAGGAGGCCAAAACCTTAGTTATTTTCTATCACGCTTCACCAACAAATCCCTCTATTTTATTTCTCCATGTTCTGACTGTTGTTCTTTTTACTTACTGGGCACCAATCAAGCAACCTTTTACTCCTTCTGTTATCTTTTCTTCTTTTTGTGATGTATCTTATTCGCCCCAATTTTTGTCTTTCAATCGCTACTATGATATCAATTATCGTTGTTTTTCGATCCCCGTTCACTTTTTCTGTCACTTTAAGTCATCCATAGCCTTGGTCTTTATTCTGATTTTATGCATTTTTGAGTTTTTTTCCCTTGCGATTTTGTTAAATTCCATCTGATACTATCGTATATCACAGATGGCAATATGTATTCATTATGCATTTTATGTTTGAATCATATTAACAAGCTTCTTTTCATTATATCTTAATGTTTATTAAATGCTTTCTCACCCTTCTGCTAAATGTTACGAAGGCATTGATCCCACGAGTGCCACCATGTCTATTGGGCTCTCACGGTCTCCCACGGTCTCTCACGGTCTTGGCAGAGCGCCGGAACCTTTCCTACCACCAGATTAATCAGCTGGAGGTTCTGGCGGACAACGTCCTTCTAGCGGCTGCATCATCTGTGGCGAGGTTGTCTCCAGTTTATAGATGACGGATCCAGCATGTAGATGACTCTGGTAGTATGGTCATCAGATCAAAGAAAAACGTGGCCGAGCCAGGAAATACAGCACTGAGCGATGGCGCGGGGGATGCTCGGTTGGTTGGTCTTCCAGCGGAGCTGCTCATTAGACACAAGATCCAGCAAGTGCACATCCTCGATAGTCCTGATGGCACGGGAGCCATGGATATGCGAGGGGAGGGTCTTGCTGAGGGGCCACGTTTCACCAAAAGAATAGCGGTTAATAACGTATAAACGTATAAAGTATAGCTATGCGTCGTCTGATTCTCTTGGCCATTCTTAAATGTTATCACTTTAAACATGTTTTCATCATTTTTAGTAGCTTTCTTACATTGTTTAATTTAATTTCCATTACTTTTCTTTAAATTTTATCACTTATCTTAAGTAGATGTATTCCCGGAATTCCTCCAGTTCTCCATCCTATGTTATAATATTTTTCAGAGTATGAAATTGAACATGATATTTGTTTTACTTGTGTTTATATTTAAAGATACATTCATACTTTCACTATTCAGGTCCTATAGTATGTCTTGTAACTCATCCGATGATTCAGATATTAGTAAAATCTTATAAGCAAATTGTAAGTACTTCAAATATATTTATATTCATTTCTCGGAAAATACTTTCAAAGTTTGCTGTAAATAGTTTACATGTAATCGTAGCACTTTTTCACAATTTTTTATTTTATTATTATCTCTATGTAGTTGAAATATTACCGTAATTCTAACGCATGGACATTCAAGACGTACGCAATTATGCATCTCCAAAAAGTCCTTTGTTCATTATCTAGGAATTGCTATGACTTCTTAGGGAATTTAATGTTATTTTCTACTTCTTTCAGATTCAGAGTTGTCATTCTTTTAGAATGGTTGCCACACAATGTTAGAAAACCGAGACTTCTCTGTTATCAGACTCATATCTGAATGGAAAAATGATAGATTCATGCCTTCTCCAATGGTATTAGTGCAAAAGTGGATTTGGGAGATTACCGCTACGCTATCTACAAATGAACTGTTAGCGGATAGAGGCTTAATAATTATATGGATTTCGTTAATACCGTGTTCTCGTATTGAGTAAAAAATCTGCCGAGTATTCTACAGAGTCAGATACCTATTCATAGTAAATCAATTTTAAAGTGATTTTTTTTATATTATTATAATTTTTTGAAAAATTAATATGTTGTTTATAGATAGTCTACTGATGAGTAATCACTCCTAAAACTGCACCTTTGCGTGGTTGATTTTTATCTCAAGTATTTGTTAGCTTGTTTGTTTTTACTTTTTAGAATAATTTCTACGTGTTTGATAGTGATGTGAAAGGGCGATAGTTGCTATGGTCTTCATTGGCTAATTTTTTATTAAGTAAAATTAATATTCCTAGACTTATTTCTTAAAAGTAATTTCTCCATGTACATGGAGAAAATTGTTGTGCTAATCCTGTGTGATGTTCTTCTGCATCTTTCAAAAGGTCTGTTGCTGTGCCATTTTCTTCTGGAGATTTTCCGTGTTTCATATGTTAAAGTATAAACATTATTTCATCTATTGTGAACTCAGGAATATTACTAGCATTGGTCATAGTGATTTTTGCTGGTAGTTTTTATTTTCTAAGTCAGGGGGGTTTCTATATTATTATATTCGTTATTCTTAACATCTTGTCTCTATATTTGATAATTTTCCCCCATTTTCTCTTTTAATGCAAAAATTGCTATTTATGTATGTGGAATCAGATCAAGCATGTTTCAATCTCTTTCTTTTCTTCTCTTTCTACATTTACCTTTCTTTTTCTTTCATAAGTTTTTTTTTTCAGTTTTATCTCTTATTATTTATGACCAGATTTGGGTTTTTTTTTCTGTTGACTGAATATTTCTCTTTCTTGTTACTATTTCTTTTTGTTTCCCTGTTATTTCTAATGTTTCCTTAATTGTTATTAATTATTAATCTTTTCTACTATTTTCACAGACGCTGTTCTTGATTCCTACGTGAAATCTCGTGACCTCAATGACCTTATCAACATGGGTTTTCCTTCCGAAAATCCTTTTATTTTTTCTTTCAAAATTGAAAGTCAAATGCAACTCTGCCTTCTACAATCGCTACATTAACTTCCGTTTTGAGACGAAAAGCAATTATA